TGAATGTCACAATGTCCCTAGTGATGATCATTAAAATTTTTCTCACTTTTGAAGGCCAGCTTTTTCTTCAAATGATGGAAATTTGAAAAACAAATGTTCTCCTGAGGCAAAGAAGAGTCAGAGAAAGGTCTTAAAAGTCTTTTGAAATTATTTAAATTGCTTCAAGGGAATGTTAAAAAATCTTAATGGCAAGTAATTTACTTTTCTCCCTGTTGAAAGGGCTGAATTTGAGGGACAGGGGGTGGTATTCTTTAAAAATATATTCAAGAATTATGATTTACAAAGTTATTGATTGATGAGTTTTAGGCATATAATATTTCACCCTCCCTGTTCTCTCCCCCAGTGCCCTCTAGTGGTATGTCTCCTACTGAAGACCATAATTACCATTTCAAATAATTTTATATGAAAGAGCAGGTTTTACTTTCTCTAGATTTAATAGTTTTATCATCTTGAGTTGTGACCTGCAGTAACTGAAGATCATATTTTTGTTGTTTTTATGGTTTGGGGACCATCCCTAACAGTGCTCATGGGTGACTCCTGACTCTGAGCTCCAGGGGAACCTGGGGACCAGTTCTATTTCTAAAAGACCGTGCAAACCTGACATGAAGAGCTTACGTGACAGCGGAGAAAAATCACCACCATTATTGTACCTGAAGAAACCAGGCATGAAGTTAGAAAAAATGAAGTCATGAAATTTACATACAAGTGGTACTACATGGAAAATACAATGCTAAGCGAATTGAGTCATAAAGAGAGGGGACAGACATAGAAAGATTGCATTCATCTGGGGAACATAAAGTAACAAAATAAGAGACTAACACCCAAGAACAGCTGTGATAAATACCAGGTTGTTCACTCCATGGCTTAGAGGCCAGCCGCACACTCTAGGGGTAAAGGCAGCTCAGATAGAGAAGGGAGCACCAAATAAAGGGTACTGGGAAGATCTGCCCAGGATGGGAGATGCCTGCTGAAAGTAGTCTATGGACCGAATATGACTGCCACCCAATGTCTATTCTGCAGACCACAGCACCCAAAAGGAGAGACAGAACAAAAGGGAGTGCCCTGCCACAGAGGCAGGGTGGGATGGGGGATGGGGGATGGGAGGGATACAGGGATTGGTGGGGGTGGAGAATGGGCACTGGTGGTGGGATGGGTACTCAATCATTGTATAACTGAAACACAAGCACAACAACTTGTAAGTCTACAACTGTACCTCATGGTGTTTCACTAATAAAACAAACAAACAAAAAAGAGAAACCAGGTATGAGTTTTCTAAATATGTTGAAATATCAGTGGCAGCGTGAGGCACTGTCATCAGGAGTTGTTTTGATCAATCTCCAGGATTTTTTAATTCCTCACATTCGGTCCTTAAGCTCTCAGTCTGAATTTGGGTCCCCTTAACCATTTTTACTCTCTTTTCTTTTCCATAAATACATTTTAAATTAGACGGCTGTATTTTTCAGAACTGAGATACTGGTTTTGTTAAATAATTAAACAAGTCAAGTTCTGAGCTATGGGCCTTCTTCAGAAGTTGCAAAGTGAGGCTATTGAATGACAAAACGTTGTCATTTTCCAAAACATATCTGAGGTAGCTTCATGAGTATGATGCAGAAGGCACAACCGAGACTACCTCTGAAGAGATATTTCCAAAGCACTCCCTCCCAATGACAACCCCAGTCCATGAGAAGTAGCAAGATCTGAGAAAACATCTCGTTGTTCACAGACTTGAGGAAATGAGCAGCTGAAATGTGGGGAGGGGGTGGGGGAGTGGGCTTTGAAACAGATACAAAAGGAATGAAGAGCAGAATCAAAATTAAAACCAAATATTTACTCATGGCTTCAACTTGGGAAAATCTAAAGAATGTTTTCCTTACATTTTTATATCCAGTAATAAACGTAATATCCCTCGCCAAAACTTTAGAAAAGACAGATAACATAGGCTGCTAGGGAAGATATTTCAGGGACCAGCGCTCTGAAATTCTGCAGGCTGCTTTTCTGAAACTAGAGTCCTCAGTGATTTTCCTCCATAAGATGCTTCTGGTCAGCATTCAGATAAGATGATTTTCTGGGGTGAATCCACCATTTTTCACTGTAGCACTGTCCTCCCGTTATTCATCGATTTGCTTGAGCAGGCCCAGTAACATTGTGAGATTTACTGTTACTGTGTTTGGCATATTGATTATGTCACGGGTAGCTTGCCAGTCTATGCGTGTGGGTGGGAAACTCTAGGTAGTTTGCCGGGCTCTCTGAGAGGGGTGGAGGAATCGAACCCAGGTTGGCTGAATGCAAGGCAAATGCCCTACCCACTATGCTATTTCTCCAGTCTGTTTTTCAACCTGTACTAAATCCAGCTTTGCTGCCCTGTACCACACGTACGTAAAGCACCGCTGGGTGTGACCCTGGGGGACCTTCAAGATGGCTCTTACAAGCCAGCCCTCAATACCGCCTGGTCCAAGCAACTAAACACCACTGTAACTGCAATCATATTTACTTATAATAACCTTACTGGCCACTGTATCAAGTATATCTGAAGTGGCACCAGGGGCCCATGAACAGTGCTTGGGAGGCCACGCACCAAGGTTAATGTATCAAAAATTCTTCACTAGGGTCTAAGAGATGCACAGCTCATCTGATATTAATGGAATGACCTCGGCAATGTCGGGGATGAGCCCTGAGCACAGAGCCAGGAATAAGACCTGAGCAGGTATTGCTCTAAAAAAAACAAAAAATAAAACTTTCCTGAGCACCTCCTGCTTTATGGGCTTCTGATTAGTATCTTATATGTGGACACATGTTTCCTCAAATATAAAAGAGAGAAGAGCAGCAGTGTTGGCAGATGTGGCAGAAACCGGGAAAAGCATTCGCAACACCCGCCAACTACAAGACCAAGATGACTGTCCTCCGACATCCTGATGGATCTATCACATCTTTCAGAAGGGCAGCGAAGAAGATTATCCATGACTTCTACTCAGATCTCTTCAATAACCACATCCACCTGCACACATACCAAATTCCACAGGATGGATATGTCGTTCCCAAAGTGTTCCCTTCCAAAATCCGACATGCCATCTCGTTGGTGAACAGCACCCAGCCCAGACAAGGTAAGACCTGAACACCTGAAAAATCTGCCGTCGGTACTCATCAATACACTGGCTCAGCTCTTCACACGCTACCTGTCTGAATGCAAGGTCCCGTCCCACTGGAAAACCAGCAGGACTGTACTACTGAACAAGAAGGGAGACATTCATGACATTCATGACATTGGCAACTATCGCCCTATCTGCCTATTTTCTGTCATCTGCAAGCTGTTCACTTGAGTCAACCTGAATAGGATTGGCAGAACACTAGATGAAGGACAACCATGCGAGCAAGCCAGGTTCCTAAAAGGATTCAGCACAATCAACCATATCCACATGATAACCAAGCTCACTGAGGTTTCCTCGGAGTTCAAGATGCTACTCTGTCTAATGTTCATTGATTTAAAGAAGGCCTTTGATTCTGTTGAGACGGAAGCGGTCATTGAGACCCTAGCCAAACAGGGCATTCCAACTCAAGACATCAGGATCCTCCGTGAGCTGTATTATGGATTCACTACCGGGATCTCACCATTCCATAAAGAAGTGATCATCGATGTGAAAAGAGGTGTTCAGCAGGGCAATAGCATTTCACCGAAACTCTTCAGTGCCACCCTTGAGAACGTCATACAACGACCGGAATGGGGAGGAATGGGAGTGAAGATAGATGGTCAGCAAGTACACCACCTCCACTTCGCTGATGACATCGTTCTAATAGCACCAAACATCAGCCAAGCAGCACAAATGCTGGCCGACTTCGACTGTAAGTATGGAAAGGTCAGACTACAGCTGAATCTCACTAAGACAATGTTTATGAGAAACAGTCTGGTTCCTGACATTCCATTCACTCTCAAAGGAATGACCATCTCCGAATGCAACAGTTATGTGTATCTAGGTTGAGAAGTCAACATCACGAATGACCTGGCAACTGAGTTGCGCAAGAGTACAAGAGTGTCTTGGGACGCCTTCAAGAGCATCAAAGAAATAGCTAAGAGGACGAAGAACCTCCGGCTCCAGGCACATCTCTTCAATTCCACTGTCCTTCCTGCATTAACATATGCCTCAGAGACCTGGGCCCTATGAAAACAGGATGAGAACACGATTCGGGTCTCCCAAAGAGGAATCAAAAGAGCTATGCTTGGAGTATCATGCTTCACTCTTCATGTTCCTAGAATGAGCACACGCCATTGGGCTACACTAGCACATGACAGGGACGAATGAAGACGTTATTGGCAGCCACTCGAGCAAATTGATGATTAAAGGGATGTCAAGTGATCAAGTGATAAAGGGATAAAAGAGCAATATAAAACACCTAACATAAGTTAGAAATTGCCAAGACCAAAGATTTTTCAAATACCTGAAATAAAGCAAGATCAAAATACAGACATTGATGATGGGATTGGTATTGAAATATGCCAAAATCCAACCACCAATAACTTTATAAATCATGTTTTTTCACTTAAACAAAAAAATAATTCACTTGCAAATGGGAAAATATTTATTTATGTCTTAAAAACAACAAACTGCCACATTGAATTACAAGAGATAAAAGTTCGTGTTCATGAAAGTAATATATTCACAAAGACTAGTAAAGTAAAGGCCCTCCCGTTGATCATGGATTTGCTCGAGCGGGCCCAGTAAAGTCTCCATTGGAGACTTCGTTGTTACTGTGTCTGGCATATCGAATACTCTCGGTAGCTTGCCGGGCTCTCTGAGAGGGGCGGAGGAACCGAACTCGGGTCGGCATGTTGGCTGCGTGCAAGGCAGATGCCCTACCCGCTGTGCTATCACTCCAGACTAAGGTGACAAAAAATTGACAAAGTACATTTAACCATAACTAATATATTCAAATATTTATGGTAGCAATTAGAGTTCTTTCAATTCAAGTAAGTTCAACAGGCACAGAATACAACGAAAATGGAACATGTGCTTTGACAAGACACATACTAAAACTGGAGCAATACAGAGAAGATTAACACGGTCCCATGAACAAGGATGAAATGCAAATTCATGAAGCGTTTTATATTTTACAAAAAGAAAAGAGAATAGGTTTTGCAATACTAGAACAAAGCAAATCTTTTAGTCATCTGTATAATTCAAGTTTCCAATTACCACAGGTATTGCTGGCTGCTCCTATTTTTTCCCTAAGCCTAAACAGAATTATTTTCAATAATAAAGGAATTGGATTCTACTTACTCCTTGTGGAAATGCCTGGATAAGATTTCCAGCTATGTCTAGAACTCTTAAGTTTCTGAGAACACAAAGTCCCTGTATCAGAAACAAAAAGGAGAGGGAAGCTTTTTATAATCCAATATGTGTATTTATTTTAAATGCACACCCTATCTATTGATCATTTTTCCTCTTTACCAGTTGAGCTCCAATCTCTCCTCGCAAGGCACATCCAAAGCCTTGGATTCTCAGGTTTTCTCACTTCTCTGCTTCCGCCAATCACTCAGGGATGATATAACCTGGTGCTCAAGAATAAGTCCACTTCTAGGATAAAATCTAAACTTCTGCACTTTGTAACTAGGCACAGATTTCTTAATCTCATTGTACTTCAATGTCCTCCTCAATAAAATTGATATTCTAATAGAAGTTATAATTTAATTTGTTTGTTGAATTAGTTGTTCTCTTCCGGGAGCAGGGTTTTATAGTCTCTGGGTCTTGGCTGTTGATGGGATTACACGGCACCGGGGCAGTTGGTGGGTGTAATGCCTACATAGTGGAAGATGGGGGATCTGGGTGGAGGAGGCCCCAGTCCCTATCTGAGTAGGCTTGGAGATCTACGCCCCGGGTCCCGCACACCTGGGTTCCTCTGCCGGTTCCTTTATGCGTGAGGCTCATCCAAAAGTGTGGAGAGTGATCTTAAGCATGGCTGTGGCTGGAACCGGACGTCTTCAGTTGCCAGGGCTCTGCTCGAGGTGGGGAGGGAAACTCAACCCACATTCCCCCAAGGGGCCCCTTGGCTGGTGGCTCGTGGCTGTCCTCACTGGGGCCCCTTGGGGGAGGGTGGGTTGAGTTTCCCTCCCCACCTCGAGCAGAGCCCTGGCAGCTGAAGACCTCCGGTCTTTGCCAGCCTCACACATGAAGGAACTGGCAGAGGAACCCAGGTGTGCAGGACCCGGGGTGTAGATCTCCAAACCTGCTTGGATTGGGACTGGAGCCTCCTCCACCAAGATCCCCCATCTTCCAGTATGTAGGTGTTACACCCACCAACTGCCCCCCCGCCCCGCGCCATGTAATCCCATCAACGGCCAAGACCCAGAGGCTATAACTCTGCTCCCGAAATCTTATCTAGTTCTTACTCTGGAGAACCTGGCAGGCTACCAAAAGTATCCTGCCCACATGGCAGAATCTGGCAAACTCCCCATGGCATATTCAATATGCCGAAAACCAGTAACAATTGTGGGTCTCATTCTCCTGACCCTGAAAGAGCCTCGAATGTGGCACTTTATAAAATCTCAGGGCTAGGCTAGGACGAAGGAGATGTTACTGGGGCCTGCTTGAGGATATATCCTTTTTGGATATGACATGAAAACAAGGGTAACAAAAGCAAAAATAGACAAGTGAAACTAAAACCAACGCCTTTAAAACTCGCACCTTTCATTTTAAAAATAAAAAGTTATTGGAATGTATAAAAGTGCACTGGTTTGAAGTAATCTTTAAAATCAGATAAAGCTTTGAGCCTTTTCAGACTTTTGCACAGTGTGTTAAGTTCCATACTTCTTTCTCTATTCTAATAAAGTAAACGTAAAGGCCCTCCCGTTGATCATCGATTTGCTCGAGCAGGCCCAGTAACGTCTCCATTGGAGACTTTGTTGTTACTGTTCTGGCATATCGAATACGTCACGGGGAGCTTGCCAGGCTCTGCCGTGCAGGCAAGATACTCTCGGAAGCTTGCCGGGCTCTCCGAGAGGGGCGGAGGAATCAAACTCGGGTCGGCCATGTTGGCTGCATGCAAGGCAAACACCCTACCGCTGTGCTATCGCTCCAGCCCTTATTCTAATAAAGAAATAAGATTTATCTCATAGAGTGGTTATTGAGTCCTAAAAAATGTATTGCTTCACAGCAATCATTTTGCTGTTATATTTGCTTATTCCTCCAACAAATGAATTGAACTGATTCATTCTGTAATTTCAAGATATTTTCCTTTTCATTGAAATTGAGATCTTAAAGTTATTAATAAGTTTAAGCATACTTATTTACAGTCTGTATCTTTCACAAGTTATATAATGCATATATACATATATATACAAGTTACAAATAAAATGTCAGTGTGTGTGCAATTTTTTTGCTTTTGGTCACACCTGGCAGTGCTCAGGTATGACTCCTGTTTCTGTGCTCAGGGATAACTTCTGGCAGGGCTCTGGGGTTTATAATGAGATGCCAGGGATAAAATCCAATCAGCAGCATGCAAGGCAAGTAAGTGTCTTACCCGCTGTACTATCTCTCTGGCCTGTATATGGAATTTTATGGACTATTTTAAGAGAAAAACAGTAGTAATTGATCATTTATATGTCAACTCTAATTGAAACCAGTCTATCCAAAAGGAATTAAGAGTTAGAAAATTAAAACTGGCCACTACCTCTGAGTTTGGGTTGTTGAGAACTCAAATAATGTTTCTCTCCTCTTCCCCAAAGATCTCTACAATGGAGATAGCATGCAGGTTGGACCCCTATGGCTCAGAGGACCAGCCCACATGGCAATTTACTAACTACCCAAAGGCCAATCTGCAAGCCAGCCTTCTGAAAAACGTACTTTCATTTCTTTTTCTTTTCTTCCAACTGACTGGCCTCCTTGAGAACTTTCACTTCGTGGGGCTGCATATTAAACACTCCTTTTCTCTTCTTCCATTTACTAGAGCACACACACTCCGTACTATCAAATTGTACTGTACACTCGCAGAACTGACATTTCCTTTTCATAATTCAAGTGCTTGAACTAAGCTCAATGGTGAGTGTCTGCATACATGAGATATGTACTGCAGTAAGACATAACACCAACATACAGCCAATCACATGATTACATATTCCCGTTTCTTCTCAGTGAATACTTTCCAACCTTTGTTCTGATCATAGCTGCTTTTAACCTTGTCTCCCTCCTATGAGCGCCCACCCAACACCTGTCCTAGATTGATGACTCACAGGATTTTCGCCTGTGTCCTTGAGGATATCCTGGGGTCTTACCCCACAGAGAAATGCAGACCTAGATAACTGGCCAATTGGAACTTTCTATGTTTTTCTTCTTTTAACTTTCTTCTGTGTGCTTAAGATGGCCACTCATGATTTGAAAGCACCAATAAAAAGTAAAAGGACCACACACACACACCCAAAAGACTTAGGGCTGGAAAGAGCTCAGTAGTAGGGCACTTGTCTTATATGCAGTCAACCTGGATTCAATCCCCGGCATCCCATATCATGCCCTGAGCACCACCAGGAGTGATTCCTGATTGCAGAGCCAGGTAAACCCTAAGCATCACCAAGTGCGACTCCAAAACAAAAAAAAAGGAAGAGGAACCCTAAAATCTAAGCCTGACGGAGCACAGAACCTGTTTCATTCTTAAACTTTCTGTCCCCCTACCCCTGACTATTCCAACAAGTGAACATGTAACTTCCAGGTCTTATAAGTAATAAACCTTTATTTTCTCAAAGCTTTCTGATAATTATTGTTGAAGGCCATCAAATTATATGGATTCAATGAGTCAGGCCATCGGTGATCATAATATGCTGCGACCAACACAAGCACAAGTGAATCCTAATTTGCATGAAGAAAAATAAATATTGACACATTTCTAGCAGGAAACAGTTCAGGAGTTTAATAAATCTATCATGTATTTAGATATGGGAAACCAATTAAGATTCTTTCAAACAGGAAATAAACTACTTCCCAAAATTCACAAAGTTGCCTCAAACAGGCAATCATTAGAAGCCTTAAGTGGAAGGAAGAGAGCTTGAGGCAGGACGGAGAAGTGCTCGAATTCAAATTCAAGAAGTGCTTGAATGGCATCTTCGTGGGAGATACCATGGCTGGGCTCTCTTCTGCAAGTGCCTCTCATTGGTCATTTGGTCTCCAGGAGGAAAACAAAGGACAAAGGTGTTGATTCGTGCTTGCTCAGGTCAGTCTTCTAGGCACAGAGCAGGCTGCAAAAGCCCAAGAGTGACAGGGAAGAAAAACCAAGCACATGTTCCAATGCCAAAATAAACTTATATTTTGATATATGTATGTATACATACATATATAGTGCTGCCAGATCAAATGTAGAAAACTCATTTAAATTCAGACAATATTTTTAGTTCCAGAGCCTGGCAAGCTACCCATGGTGTATTTGATATGCCAAAAACAGTAACAATAACGGGTCTCATTCCCCTGACCCTGAAAGAGCCTCCAATACAGCAGCGTTGGGAAAAACGAGTAAGGAGAGGCTGCTCGAACTCAAGGCTGGGATGAATGGAGACGTTACTGGTGCCCAGTAGAGTAAATCGATGAACAACGGGATGACAGTGATACAGTGATTCCCTGTAAAATTTGAAATATGCTTACACCAAAAATTCTCCATTGCTGAAATGAAATTCAAATTTTAAGTGAACCAGTGCATTTTATTTACTAGGCAAGGCAAGCCTTCCTATGTGCAATAGTACAAGCTATAATTTTTGTTTGTCATAGAGGCTTTGGGAACTGATTACATATAATCTGAGGGTGAACAAATCCAAAATGAACTTGGATGGCCACAACTATTTTGTTCCCACTCCCAAGATGTTTTTTTTTTAAAAAGCTCTTCTCCAAGCAAAGAAAATTGGTATCCATGTTTTTCTTACCTCTGGCAAAGCTTCAAGTTTGTTCCTGACCACGAAAAGCTTCTGGAGTTTCTTCAAGCATTTCATCTCTTCAGGTAGGTAACTCAGCTGATTGTAGTTAAGATGAAGTTCAGAAAGATTCTTAAGGAAACAAATTTCTGCAGGAATTCTGATGAGCTTGTTATTAGTTATACTCAAATATCTAAGGTTGGATAATCTAAAGAATAAATAATAAA